CACCTGAACGCTCTACATTCCTTTTAATTATGTTTGAAATTATGAACATTGCTCAACATCATGAAAATTAAACCTTATTTTCAATAAGCAATCCTGAAAAATATTTGGGGGTGCTTAACTTTTTTCCAGGTGTATAGTTTAATAATGGTAAACTCAGTTACAATATTGGGTCACATATATTTTACTTTACATACTGTACTTTAGTCACAGGTGCAACTGCCTATCTTACTCGTTGGATCAAACCATGGGCATTTATTATCCCTCCACACACCACTTGTGTAACCAACTCAGCATGAGAGGGTGGAGGGGGTACTTTCCCTGAAAGGTGGCCAGAGGCCACATGGAGAGGTTACCTGTTTTAACCACCCACACCACTATACATTAGTGTGTTGTCTGTCAGTCATTCAGTGGACACTAAAATAATGTCACATAAGGGACACTTAATATTGCAATTTGTACTGTCATGATGTCAGTAAAATGTGTGCATGTCATGAATCACAAGAAGAATTATGCACTCTCTAAACTACAACACAGCATGACATATGAACTTCAAAAGCAAGAAATAAAAATCTGTTACTCTTAATTTTGGTTTTATTTACTCTTGAAACAAAACTTTTGGAGACCCTGCAGAAGTACATATAGTAATAGTTAATGATAGTGGTAAAGGATCCCATATAACTTTGCTGCATAGGCCCCGTAAGATCACGTTGCACCATTGACTTCAGCTTGTAGGGTATCTAACATTAATATTTATTGACGTATTGTATTTTGGTATTAACTAGTATCTTTAACTTTAAAACGAATAAATAACTGTAATTGTAATATAGGTAATGTTTGACTGGCAGTGGGTGCTGTAGTAGTTGCTGATACACTTTCCTTACAATCAGTTGTTTGTTTAAACTTTTGACATGTTTCAGCCTATCAGCATGTGAAATGCAGTGGATTGAGGTCTTGATTATATCAGAAACTTGTTAACTCTACTGTATGTAACAGTAAAGTATGATTAATTATTTCAAAGACTATTTTTCATTTCAATCTGACAGTTTAAATTGTGGCTCATCACTTTGACCTTGAACCAAAAATGCATAATTTTGTGGTATGTAACTTAAATTTTCAGGTAATCAGCTTTAATAACTCAAAGCTTTTGCTATATATATTATTTAATGCATTCTTAAAAGATCTGTCTATTTTGTTGTCTTACTTAAAGAATACTAATTCATTCTGCCTGAAATAGCAGTACTGTTCAAAAGGAAATAGGTAATTTTGTAAGGAATTAAATTAAAACCAATAAATGGAACATTTTATACTATTTTTTTATTCTCTTTTAGTTACTGTATAATTTAATATTATGTTTGTATGTGGTTTTTTCTCCATACACTGAATTTATTTATATACACATTTTATACTTTGAAAAATGTTTTAAGAGATAAAATGAATAAGTGCATTTAGAAAACTTTATTGAGCAGCCTGTTTACCCTACTAGGAACAGAAGCTTTCAAGCATCGGAACAAGATGTCTTAGTGAAAAACATCTTCAGACTATTTCAAGCCAAGCTGAAGAACTAGAAGAAGTTCGAAGCCAGATGAAGCATCTAACTGGAATAACTTCATCTCAGGGTGAGAGAGTAATGCTGTCTGCTAATTTTTGGTTTGACTTTAGAGTAGAGAACCTATATCTGAAGTTTCACATTATGTTTTATTTTGTGACAGTTTTATTCACACAGCAAGATAATGTTGTGATAAAATTAAGAAGAAAAAACTACATATGTTTGGCTCATACTGCACATCATGAATTTATTATTAAGTGTTATTATATATTTATATTATGATGTAACTGATAAAAAAGTACTCATGTTACTTCATTTTTCAAAATTAATTTTAAATGATTAGTTATCATAGCAAAAAAATCTAATTATTTGTTGAAATAATTTCCACAGGATTCATAAGATAATTTATTAATTAGAATTACTGTATACTTTCAACATCAAGAATAAACCACTATTTTTGAAATAATACAAGATTTGTTTGAGAGACATGTTTGGCAAGAGGGATATAATCTGAAGGTATTATGACAGTGGAAGTCACGTGACGCTGGTAACGCGTGATGAGGTTCTAGAAGGATCATGACTTTTCCTCGCAACTCTAGTCTGTTCTAGGCACCCTCTTTTTTAGTGTATAAGCTGGAGATAGATAATCGAGTCAAGCGAGCAGTAGGCACCGTAAGTAAAGTGTGTGAATTATAGCATGTGTTTATAAAAGTAGTTAAGTTTAAAGTGACTGTGGAAATTCTGTGTATCACAAAGTTTGTAACGAGAAAGAATAAACTAGTTTTAATTAAGAAAGGACTTCTGTCGCTGAAGTTTCTCGGAAATAATTTTTATGGGAAATTATCAAACAAGCAGATACGCCACAAATTGGCGTCAGAGAGTGGGACAGAAAAAAAAGAAAGAAGATGGAAATGAGAGGTGGCAAACCAAACTACAGCTTAGCAGATTTGATGGCAGCAATACAAGAACAGCAAAAGAAACAAGAAGAACGAGAAAAGAAACAAGAAGAGAGACAACAGCAATTGCAAAAAAACCTGTAACAGTGGCAGCTCGACCAGCAAAATAAACAAGAGAGATTACGGCACTTGTTGGAGGAAAAATAAAAGAAACAAGAAGAATGAGAAAAGAAACAAAAAGAGAGATTACAGCAGTGGTTGGAGGAAAAAGAAGAGAAACAAGAAGAGAGACTACAGCAGTGGTTGGAGGAGAAAGAAAATAAACAAGAAGAAAGTCTGCAACAGTTGAGAGAAAGCCATCTTACACAAATGGAAAAGATGAGTAAATTTCAAAGTGAATTAAATACATTAAAGGTGATATACATGGACCTAATCAACCCCAGACAATGGAAAGCCCCTTCCAGACCTCACAGCTAAACCCTAATTCAGACATTTTCAGTCCTGTTAGAAGTCACATCCCAGAATTGAATGTCAGCAATAGGGTGATCTAGTATGAAGGAAGCCATAGGAATTCGATGGGAAGGCACCATGGGAAGCATATAGAGCACAAATTTCTAGCTGCTCTAGAACTCGGGTATGGAACTCAAAATCAGTCCGTAGTCTACAGGGCTAGGTTTAGGACTAGAGTCTGTGCTAAAGGGGAGAGCCTTCAAGAGCTGGCACAGTACTTGGAAAGTATGGCACACAAGGCCTACCCAACTGCACCACCCGATGTCCTCAAGCTGTTGCTGAGGGATCAGTTTGTAGATGCTTTGGACAGTCCACAACTGAAGATAGAAGTGAAGGAAGCTCACCCCTCTACTATACAAGATGCAATGACCAGAGCTCTTGAATTCGAATCCTATGTTAAGTCCAGCATAGAAGTACCAAAGTTGGTACAGTCATAAGGATTCAAGGCCAGAAAAAGTCAGCTTTCAGAGAAGTTTAAGGGACTTTGTTGGCACTGTAACAAACCTGGGCACAAGAGAGCTCAATGCTGGTAACTTCAACACAGAGAAGATGCCACGGCAGGAAAGGCTGCTACCCAGAAAGGTTGTTGGAACTGTGGAGAAAAAGGACATATGAGGAGCCAGTGTAAGAAGAATACTATAAATAAGTCAGCTTTGGGAAACCAGTAGTGGTTGGTGCTGAGGGATG